AGACAGACAGACACAGACCACACAGATAGACAGACAGACAGACAGACAGATAGATAGAAACATAAAGGTAAAGAGATAGAGAGACAGACAGACGGGTAAAGAGAGAGATACAGATAGACAGAGACGGACAGAAGTACAGACAGACAGACAGACAGACACAGACCACACAGACAGACAGACAGACAGAGACAGACAGACAGATAGATAGAAACATAAAGGTAAAGAGATAGAGAGACAGACAGACGGGTAAAGAGAGAGATACAGATAGACAGAGACGGACAGAAGTACAGACAGACAGACAGAAGTACAGACAGACAGAAAAAGACAGATGGGTAAAAAGATGGAGACAGAAGTTTAGGTAGGATAGACAGAAAGATAGATAGACAGAAAGACAGACTGACAGACAAACAGATGAAGAGACATACATATAGAAGGATAGAAAGATAAATAGAGACAGACAGATAGATAGAAAATAGAGATACAGATAGATAAAGAGAGAGATAGAAAGACGGGTGGACAGATAGATATTTCTTTATTCTATATGTTGATGACCTTCCTTACTTGGCTCTGGTTTGCACAACTGCAACAGTCTGTGGATGGCAGCGTGGGTCAATGTAGAACATTCTTCTTTTGTTTTGCCTTTGAAAAGGAACAGGTGAGTGTTAATTATCACTCCCAGCCCTGGGGAAACACCATTCTGCATGCCAAAGACCTGAATGAGCAGGTTCAGGTGTTGGCTAACAGACTAAAGGTCTCCTTGATAAATGGAATCGTGTTCTTCACAGATGTTTCCAGCAGTAAGCGTACTAACCTGTTGCAGAGCTGCATGGCCTCAGCAGCAGCAGTACCCTCATCCAGCAATGACGCATTAGCTACTGCCATTCCCGTGATGTCACAGACCATGGTCTGATAATTCAGAAGGCTCTCCAGACGCCCCTGAGAGACCTCAGGCTGGTAGGGGGTGTACTGGGTCACCCTATAGAGAACACAAAAACTCATTGAATCCCTAACCAAAGACCTCCAGTCTGAGTCACAAGATTTCTCTTTCGCGGCACGCTACAACTCGCTTACGTAATAAAAATAAAAATGCAATTAGCTTTTTGACTAGAACTGTACTGACCATGAGAATCTAATGAACAAGGTGTTCCAGCGTGTGGCTGTAAATTTTAAGTCCCATGACTGAAACAAAGGGTTGATGTATGTCAAAAACGTTTGGTTGGTCCACTTTTAACTTTTGCTCCACCAGAAGCTGAAATATACGGTATGCTTCAAACGACAAGAAACACATACCATCCCGAATTCTCAAGCAGATTTCTTTGTATGACTGGTGGGACCGAGCAGTTATAATAACCCATTCCAATATAGGACCTCCACATCTTGTTCCTCGACGCAATCTTTTGAAGTGAATCAAGAATTTCATTCTCACCTGTAGTGATTAAGCACAAAGATAAGAACGATTTGAAAATCTGTGGTTACTGTTAAACAAAATCAGTATGTAAAACACCCTAGATTAATAAAATTCTCACATGCTTACATAGTGCTCACATAGTTTTGCTTTTATTGAGTCATTAATATAGTCGTTAAAAAATTGGTTTGATTTGACCGTAAAATAGATGATTAATTCTTCTAGACCTAAGCTCCTTCCATGGAAAAAAAAACCCCCTATGGTTTGTGTTGCATCAAATTAAATCCAGCTTGTGAATATTTTAGGAAGCTTCTCACATGACTTATAAGTACAAAGCAATTGCTTTTACACACATTGGCAAATACACCTAGTATTTAAACACACACCTACAAAAACATCACATGGCATGATCTGATGAATAATACAAGAGCACACTATCTCACTGATTAATATATGCATTAAGCGTGTTTGCAAATTCATAATATAGTATCAAAATGTTAGATAAAGCAGATATGGGCCATTTCCTGATGGCTAGGTAACTAGTTTAATGGTTGTAGCTTGAGGGCACTGGAGCCGGTTCATACAGAGACACACAAATTCCCAAGGCATTGTGCTGCAGCTTAGCAACGGGGGTTGACAAAATGAACATCCCACAGATCTGTTAAGTTTAACACAGGATATTTGTGCGACAATGAGGCAGCCAGCCAGTTTGATGTCTTGATATAGTGTTTATCGGTGTAACATTTTGTAAAAGGTATTCTAGTTTTAACATAACCATTTTGAGAAATAAAAATATATTCATAAAACCACAAAAGGGAAAGTTTAGTGAGCCCATTATTGTTGAGCAGTGAATTTCTCGCAGGATTTGCAGATCAAGCTCTGTGCAGCTGAACCAGCAGAATCCAGTATAGCTCCCCCATCAGCTTCAGCATGGCTTGCTTCATTAAAGACACACACAAGCAGATGAGAAAACTGACTCCTGCCATATGTCATACCTCAGAGTAACTACAATAAATTGTATGCTTAATGACAATATTCCTTTTATAACCCTCATTCATACAATAGTTTTGGGAAGGGGAAAAAAAACAGTAGTGACTTGAGAAAGGGTTGGTTCAATGTTGTCAGAACTATCGCTTAACGAGACGTTACTTTACACTTTATATCTGCATAAACATACGAATTTTACATTTTAAGAGTCATGTTGTCTGCAAAAATGTAAGTTATAACGTGTTTATTCACACTCCGGTGTACTGTGTAATTTGTATATCAACCGTTTTCCTAGTATATGTTTTTGAAATAATTATCAGACTTTATAATTGCAAATGCAACCTAAAGTTCCGCATGCTATTTATCTTTAATGCCGTTAAAATGTCAATTATTACGCAAAGTTGTATGTTGAGCGGTGCACGCGTGATGTAATGCTACTGCTAACCAGATCAAACTGGCCGAGTGACGCTGAACTTTACACTCTAATTGTCATCCTATTGGCATCGGCTGAGGGCGTCAGGAGATTGGTGCTGCTCGCCGGGCTCCTCAAAAACAACTCCAAATATGTTCAAAGGAAGACTTAACGGTGAAAAACACTCAAGTAAGGTTTATTGGCACACAAAGAGCGTGTAACCTACATTCCTCGCTCAGATGGACTCCTTTGTTAGAGTCTGGTTCGATAGAAAATCCTAATTCGAAATATTTCGAAATAAAAATCCAGATTTATTAAAAAGCCTTAATGGAACGACTAGTTCCGCTGCCCTAAAATCTGACACCAGACAGAGTTTCAAATAACGCAGGAATGAAATTTAACCTCGCAGTGTGCCTTACAGACAGTCAGTGCAAATAAATGATGAATTCACAACAACAAACGACACGTGTTTCCTCTGTCTGCCGCTGCTGAGAGCAGTGCGAACAACTTACACACAGGATCGTCCATTTTCAAACTTCTTCCCAGGCGGATGGATGCGGGAACTGTGTTTTCGATAAGCTCAGCGACTGACTGAAATCAACAGAAAAGTGTAAACTATTATTTTGTTTATTATTATTATTATTATCATCATCATCATCATCACCATCAACAGCGAAAATTGTTGCACAGTTTTGTTGCAAAATAGATTAAAGTTTAAGATGAGAGTAAAATGCTGACATGAAGCCTTTAAACAGACTCGCAATCTAGCATATTAGTATATAAACATTACGTTTAATAAAAAATAAATAGTTTTTACCTCAAGTCCAAGGGTATTGAGCATCTCTCGTTTCTCTTTGTCACCCGGTCCAATGTGTCTTTCAGAAAAATCATCGTGTCTCGGCAAAATTCGTTCTATCTTCCTAGACCACAAAACTTGTGAGGTGCCCATACAGCGCACATTTGCAGACACATCTGCGTTTAAACCTTGAAGTTTCTTAAAAACATCCCCTTTATTGCTGATATTCCTGTACGGCGCGCGAGCGTTGATCGACCTGCTGATGACAACACGCCAGGAGTTAGCGCAGCTCTGCATGTTCTTCACTTGAGATTTACTGAAAATTGTACGGAAGAATCTTTCAGTCAGCCTCCACACCGTGTAACCCACTAAATGTCTGTGAAATTCCTTAAAAGCGTCTATTTTATACGCCTCCTCATTGCACAGGGAGCAGCCAATCGATAAGGGAACTCTCTCTGACGCAGAGACAAGCCCCGCTCGCTCAGGTCCCGCCGAAAACTTTTACTGTGCTGTGAGGAGTTGATACGACGCGGTTTACATCAATATTACTCACACACTTGGTATCTGCTCGTTATGTCTTCTATGTTTTTACATGTTTTGTAGTCGCGTTCTTGAACGCCCAATTAAACGCGGAGACAATTGTGGAGCAATCATACAACTGAATGGAGAAGAAGCTTGTAGTGTGAAAATGAATGGGGTTCTTCACGAGTTCCTCATTCTCCACACCTGGGGAATCCAATGCAGATCCTTCAAAAAGGACAGTTCTCTGGGGAACTTTTAAGATGAAGCCAAGTTCTTGTCAAGGGTTACTCCATGAGGAAAATACTTCATAAGGAAAAGGCATTGAATTAATAGGCAAGTTCCCCCATACAAAATATGACATCTGGGGCACATTCACTCTAAAAACAGCTGGGTTAAAAACAACCCAATTTGGGTTATTTTGGCAACCCAGCGCTGGGTCAAAAAGGGACGAACCCAGCGCTGGGTTGTTTTAACCCAACAAGTTGGGTTATGTTTGACCCAGCATGCTGGGTTGCTTTTTTATGGTTTAAAATCACTACACTGCTAGGGTAAAATGAACCCAAATCGAGCTAGACTTTAAACCTACAAATCTTGTTCATTTTAAAATCACTTTTACACACACAGAATGACTACCAAATGGTAAATATTTATTTAAAACAAGAGAAAACAGTCAAAAGTACACTCTAAAAAATGCTGGGTTGTTTCAACCCAACGTTGGGTCAAATATGGACTAACCCAACTTTTGGGTTAAAACTTTAATTTAAAAATTTGTTGGGTTAGTCCATATTTGACCCAATGTTGGGTTGAAACAACCCAGCATTTTTT